CGGATGTTAAGAAAGGAGGGAGTAAGATGGTGATGGTAATAGATTTAAATCCCCTGGGATCTACAGTTTGACCTTAGACCACTTGGAGCGACAGTGACCACCCACTCATCCTTGGTCAAGCCAGTGAAAACATGTGAAATGTGCTGAGAGCTCTTATGTGATATTTCTTTGGCTTGTTTTACTAAATACAAATATTCTTTACAAGTCATTTTTCTTCAGGAAACACAAGGAATCTATGCCTTTTTTGGGAAGGAACATTCTCTTCAAATTTCTGCGCAATTGTTTTTTCTCAAATCTCCACAGAAAAGCTGCTTTGATATGACTCAAACATGCACCAGTGGTGGAAGCTGGAATTGACTTTCCCGTTTTTAACTTCCAAAGTTTATGACACACTTATTCCTATGACAACAGTGGATCTAATTGTTATCATTTCTAGTAGAAACATCTGTTTTTCTTTGCCGTAATACCTTTCACAAGCTTGCTATATGTCACTGTTATGGTGTGTGTGTGTGTGTGTGTGTGTGTGTGTGTGTGTGTGTGTGTGTGTGTTGCTAGAATGGAACTCAGAACCTTGCACATACATGATCCCTTTTGAGGGGATTAAAAGAAAAAATTTGCTATGTTTGAAAACTTACCTATTCTGTTTTGATGTTTTTTTTTTATATGAGTGCAACTGTAAACAGTTTTAATTTAGACAAATGATATAGGTCACAGGAGATTTAACCAAAAGACATAATATGCTCAATGTCATCTTTAAAAGGGAGTATAATGAATGTATTTTATCATTTGTTCATTAAAAATATGTATTCAGTATCTATCCTGTGGAAACTACTCTACTAGGTGCTGGAATAATCAAGATAGAAGTTAATTCCTGTCTCAGAATGTTCCTTGTTAGGAAGCCAAACCCATAGGGGTTAGCACTCTAATGGGAAGAACGGCACTGAAGACCAGAAACACAGGAGAAGAGTCTTTGCCGTGTCCAAGCTGAGTGAGCACGGCTTCTTGGAAGAAGGAATTTGAGGATCATGTAAGGCATTTGGATGTTATAAGTTGAAATTAGCAAGGGGTGAGGGAACATGTTTACCACTGGGCCAAGTCACATAAAAGATAGGTTTTACTCCAGCAATGAGATGCTATTTTTAGGAAATATAGTGGCAAATGGAATGGTGGGTTTTGTGTGCTGTCCAAACAATATGTATTTGACCCAGAAATCATAAGGAAGAAGTAATGCAAGTTCATAGTTAGGGAAGGTGAGAGCTGAGGGAAAACACTTCAGACTGGTCCTTCGTTTAACAGCTGGTTAAAGAAACAACTTAAAGGCCAGCATTTAATACAGATACCAGATAAGAAAAGTTCTTCAGCTTCAATGTGTGTTTAACTCAAATGGCTTAACTCAGTGTATTTGAAGACATAACTTGGTTGGCAAGGAGAGCAATTCACAATTAAATTATTTTTCAGGGGTTTGAATAAAGCACTAGGTATGTGTGGCTCTTACAGACTCACAGTCAAGTTAAAGAATAACTGGTTAAAAGAAAGCCCAGTGATCAAATGAAAGCTGTGTAAAGAGAAAATAAACATAAATCACAAGGGTAGGGCTAGACACAATTTTCATTCATGAGTGAGTGCACTTTTGTGACATTTATCAGGCAAACATCCCAAATAAATAATGAAAAAGATTATTTAATATAACAGAAACAAGAACTTGGCATTTTACCAATAATATCAACATCCTATGGTAGGGGCTAACAATGTGGAAAGAAATCAATCAAAATCTGAAGAACTAAGGCAATACAGGATGACTTCGTCAAACAATATCACTAATTTAGCATAAGCATATGAAATGAATTAGTGTCACTGTGAAAGCACAACTATGTTAAATAAGATATAATTATATTGGAAGCAAAGATTATTTCAATAAAAGCAATTATTGAAATTGAGACCTAATATAAACATGTTTGTTATTCCTGGGTTGTAAGACAGAATATCCAGACAGTGTGAGGTAAATACCAAAAGAGCCTTTTGTTTTAATACTGTTCTACCTCCCAGGATAGATAGGCTGTAATAAATCCTTCAAAAAAAACAAGACCCTGAGGGTGAGAGGATGCAGAAGAGGAGAAAAATCATTCAACTATATAAACAAAGTCCTCCAAACATAGTGACAACTTAACACTATTTCCAAGTGTAAGCACATAGTGTTCACCCTGAGGAAGGCCTGACCATCTATTAGGGATATTTTCAAAAGAAGAAAACTTGGAGTAAACAGTAAAACAAAGGAGAGCTATTTGACTAAAGGCTTGCACACATATGGAAGCTGTTAAGGATATGGGTGACTAAAGAAAGAACTACAAACGAGTTGAAGAGACACCTAGACTGTCTCTGAAAGGAAGGGGACAGAGGAAAGGGTGGATTCAAAAGCAGGAAAGTGGGCTAGAGATCAGTCAGATGGGAGGGAGACAGGATTTGGGGGCAGATGCTCTTTTCTGTTCCCAAGTGTTCAAAGTTAAGAGACACTCCTTCGTCCGCTTTTATTTCATACAGAGTGAACCAAGAAGAAATTAAGGGTCTGTCAAAGTTTGTTCTGGATGTACTTGTGTCGCTTTTTTTAATAAACGCCACTTGTTTCTGTGTTTCATTTGCTGCCTTCTTCTAACAAAGGCTCTAACTTAAGTCCATTTTGTCCTTGGTCTTCAAATTTAAAAAGTATGTTATGTTCATGCTGTATGGTTATGGTACATTAAGCTATCTTCTTTTGAAAATTTCCAATGAAGGTGAGTATTTCTTTCTTGACAAAGTGTCATGTTAACTAATTTACCAGAGTAAAGGCTTGTCTAGACTATGAAATTAGCAATTAGACTATTTTTTCACAGCATTTGTGAAAATTAATGTACACTAGCAAAAATTAATTGAATCCTCGTGTTGGTATCTCATGCCTGCAACACTAGCTACTCAAAGGGCCAAGATCTGAGAATTATGGTTTGAATCCAGCCTGGCCAGGAAAGTCTGTGAGACTCATTTCCAATTAACTACCAAAAAATTGGCCTTGGAACTGTGGATTATGTTGTAGAGTGCCTGCCTTAAGGAAAAAAAAAAAAACCAACGCTAAGGGCAGTGCTCAGGCCCTGAATTCTAGCCTCACTATCTTTATAAAATAAACATAAAACTTAGTTATGAGTTGTTTGCTTCAGCATAGATGATGACGATTGTCTTCCTCACCTGGAGGAAGACAAACTCCCTAATATTCCCACAAAGCTGCCAAAGAGATGCCAACGTTCATTCTCATTAACCAAACTCACAGGACTTGAGGATAAAGCTTTATCCTAGACATCATGAGAAACAAAAGGCAGGGGAAAGAGCCACTTCTTTGAGGAGATGAATTGCAAATAGAGAGACCAGAATAAATATCTAGGAATATATGCATGTTAACAATGAAAGTATACTAATCAGTTCCATTGAACTAATGCCACATTAGACTGGGATTTCACTCAGTCAGGTCATTGTGTAGCCCATGATAGACTTTTTTATACACTCTACCCAAACAAATGTAATTATTCTAGGATCAGGCCAAAACATGCAGAAAGCTAGCCAAAAGGAAAGACTTTAAAGTAAGTGGTCCATATTTGAAGGATATAAAGGAAGTACAAAATAAAACTGACTACTTGAGTCATGCTCATTCTAGCCTCTTTACGTAAAAGAGGTGGGAGCTCATAAGTACTTTTCAATCACATGTATAATTTCACAGGAAATATCTGTGGAAGGTAGATATTCGAATAAGCGTCACAGAAACCTAGTTTACAGGATATCAACAAGGGAAACCTTGCTAAAAACTTATGCTAAAGAATATACATGAATGAAAATTATAATAGTATTAATTATCTCAAATTTAGAATCATTTCAAGTGTGTTTATTTATTTATAAAAGTCCATAAAAACAAAATTGTCTATCTTCAACTGAAATTAAAATATAAGGACCCATTCTGTACATCCACTATTAGTGTAATTGACCAGTAGTATTTTCTTAGGCAAAGCCAAATGAAAATATTCAGACATAATGTTTACAGGTACAATTACTAGCTAGAATAATTAGAAGAAAATCAGACTATTGATCTTAAGGTTGGGGTCTCTACAAGTTATTAAGAGCATATTTTATAGACGATATACTTTTCCTTTATTTTCTTCATTTGCCAAAAGAATCTATTTTATGAACTTGAATAACATGTCTTTCTGATTTAATGTAAATTGTGATGACAGAGAACAAAACAGATTTTATTTCAAATTGCTAAATTAAAATTATATATAAATTGTGTTCAAAATCAAATTCAAATATTGACTTTACCACTTAAGACCAATACTGCAGCCTATCTGACCTTCTTTTTATTTATCTGTCAACAGGTAATGGATTCACTGGACATGTAAACATAGTTGAGCTCAGTAGCATTTCCTTAAGTGCACAGAGAAACTTTCCTGAACTAAATAAATACGTAAAACTTTTCCAGAAGCAGAGATTAGTTTGATAACAACACCAGAATAAATTTTCCTTTTTGCTAAACTCAATTTGAGATGTCAGGAAGGTATGAAATGAAATTTATCTACTTAACTAGCTCACAAAGGCTTAAGAAACTGAAAAATAAAAAAAAGAAATTTAGTTTTCACTTTTTTAAAAAATCAAATTTAGACTTTACTGTTCACTTACTGTCTAGCCTAGTGAACTACAATGTTATCTGCACTACAGAAGCACCCAAGAAACATCATAACAACTGGCTAAGACACACTCAACACAATTCTTTTGGTGATCTAGTTTTCCCTATTGGTGAAAATCTGCCATACTCTTCTTTTTGGATTCACAGCTATGGGAGAGCTTGAAACTCCATGGTAACCCTTCCCTGACTGAAACAATCCTCATGGCAGTCACTTAACATGCCTACAGCTTGATGTGTTCCCTGTAACATGAGCACAACACGATACCAAGCACAAGGAACTGCACAGATTTCATCAATGTCTTACCAATGTGCTGCCATCAGTCCAACGGAAGTCGTGCTCAAACATCTTGTCATTGAGGCCTATCCATTGATAATCATGGCCCAGACCTGGATGGAAAATAACACCAATGTGTTTACTACTTTTTCCGTGTCTTGGTGGAAAATATACTGAAGAAATTATTTTCAGAATGAATCATGCATTTTCTCTCCTGCCTGGATTTTTATTTAGTTGTTCAAAAATATTTCTCCTATTTTATTCTTTGTTCTTCTGCACAATATGCTTTAAACTAAAAGGCTAATTTTCAAACACTATGAAACATTAAAATATGATACAAAGCTGATAATTTCTCCAGTACTTCATTTTTTTCCATCATTACACATGATACACATTTTCTATTAATTTTTGATAATCCACTCAATAACTATATATGATGTACACACTTATTTTAACACCCAGATGTTTCCTCTGAAAGAATTGTAAATAATGAACATCTAAGTCAAAAATTTTCTATAAAAAATTATCCTAAAAAATAGTTACTTTTACTGTGAAATGACTGAATGGCAAATGAATCATGCAATCAAGTTAACTGAACACTATTCAGATTATAAATGAACAATTAAGCCCCAAAAATCTACAAAGCATTGTGGGCACATACTCAACAGAGCATCAAAAAGCATTTTGTAAGGACCATAGTTCTATATATTTGCTACATAAAAATATATACCTAGATGTCTTGCTGTTTGCTGTAGCAAGAAGTTACTAAATAGCTCTGAGAGTAGCTTTCTTCAGTTTTCACTCTTTACCTATTCACATTCTTAGGTAGCTCACTTTCTATAGTCAAAAATAATTAGAAATGGATAGGAACTTAGATGCACAAGGGATAAAACTATTCACAACTCAATTTTAATTAACTAGATTAAAAAATAGCAAAACGTCCTCCTTAACTTTGTATAGCAGATGCAAATATGCAAAAGAGAAGTAATAAAATTATACGGAATTAAAGAAATTACAAGAATCATATTGAATCCTAAGAAATGACCTTTTTCTGAAAGCCAAATAGCAAGACCAAATAGCCAAGAACTGGTGGCTCACGCCTGTAACCCTAGCTACTCAGGAGGCTGAGATCTGAGGATTGTGGCTCAAAGCCAGCCTGGGCAAGAAAGTCTGTGAGACTCTTATCTCTAATAAACCACCAGAAAACTGGAAGTGACACTGTGGCTCAAGTGGTAGAGCACTCACTTTGAACTGAAGAGCTCAAGGACAGTAGTACCCAGGCCCAGGGTTCAAACCCCACGACCAATTTCTAATGATTCGATCTTTAAGTAACATTTGCTAAACTAAGTAACACCTTCCTATTTTTTTTTTAAATTTTTTTGTTGGTTGTGGGGCCTGAACTCTGGGCCTGGGTGCTGTCCCTCAGCTCTTCAGCTCAAGGTGAGCACTCTACCACTTGAGCCACAGGGCCAGGTCTGGCTTTTTCTGCTTATGTGGTGCTGAGGAATTGAACCCAGGGCCTCAGACAGGCTAGGCAAGCGCTCTACCACTGAGCCACCTTCCCAGCCCACATCTTCCCATTTTATAGTTGAATGTTTCCCTAGGTCGGAGTTCCTTGGGTGAGGGATTTTTATAGTTTATAGACAAGGGATGTAATCAATTGAATCAAGACTAAGAAAGCTACTTCTTCTCAGTTGGATACAGAGAAAAGTAAAAAGGTCATGAGGAGTACAGTTTGAGGAAATCTGTGTGTGTGTGTGTGTGTGTGTGTGTGTGTGTGTGTGTGTCTGTGTGGTACATACGGTTCACAAACACTTGCTCTTCATGAGACAAGATGCTGGTGAGGTGGGCTCCCTGCAGGCGACATTCCCTTTCAGCGGCATCCCAAGTGCGTCGGTGGGCGAAGTATTTGTAGCACTGCCCTTGGAATTTGTGCCAGCCATAGTCACACGTCTCAGTGTCTGGGAAAAAAAAACAACAAAGGGTGGACTTCATTAAATTCAGCTACGTCATTCAAACTTGGCTTCTCAAGCCAAGTGCTGACAGGATACCCAAGCCAAGTTCTATGCAATGTCCCTGAAGTAGCTGATTCATAAATTTGGTCACTATGACAAAGAAATCATTATAAAATGAACCCAACTGATCCTAGCAAAGTGAGCGGCCGTACATCTTTGGAATGGAAACACGGATCTGATTGCATTTCCTTCGATAAAGACATTTTAAGCAGGAGAAAATACTGAAAAAGCAACCAGCCAAAACCTCTATAGTCTCTGCTGACTTCTGTGCGAAGCAATAGGGACTAATTTCTTAGCAACACCATTTTTTTCTTAAGAGAATTGTTCACAAATGATAAGATAAGAATTCTGGCTAACAGGATTATCAACACTATTTGCATAACGACTTCAAAAGCTCAGGAAATAGTCCTTTTCTGCTACTCAGAGACAGAACCACAGGCTTTGGATGTATAACATTTACACAGAGGGGAAAAAAAAGTCTTGAGTAGGCAGCCTTGGTGATACAGAATGTGTTCTCTCTTCCACACCAAAAGAAGAAAAGATAGGGAACTTCAAGTGTTATGTTCATCAGGCTTTTAACTTTATTTAAAGTGAAATAACCTAACCCAAGTTCTTGATCTTTAGGTTTCCCGCCCCTCCTCTTCCCTCTACTCTTCTCCCCTTCCCTTTAGTCCCCTCCTGTCTTCCTCTATTTTTCTGTTTCCTCTGGTATCTATTCCAATATATCTGAATATTATATGGACAAAAGACTTCAGCTTTATTTTATGTGAGTTTTCAAGAAAGCAGCCTTGCCATAATCACTGCATTCTCATTGACAACCTGCATTTAGACTCACCATCCTCTGTATTAAATTACAATTAATAAAAATAATTTTGACTTTCCCAAACCATATCTTACAAGTGTATTGAAAAAGTTACATATAAAATATGATGAAACTGAAAAGTTCATGAAATTTCAGACACTAGACAAACCTTCCAGATTGCTGTATTTTTTTAACCAATCAACAAAACTGCAATCCTACTCTATTAAATAAGTGCTTGTTTTCGATGAGACTGGGTGGCCAAAATGAATGTCACATGATCTTTTGACTTTCAGTCAAGTTCCTCCTCCTCATATAGTTGTGGGAAAGCATGCATTCTAAGGGATTTATCTGTTTCCCTCTCTGGCTTTCATGACTTAGACATTGATCCTACAACAGATGCAGCATATCTCTGAAGGCAGACTCCATTTCCGTTTAGTCTATCAATGCTGTTGTTTAGTTACAGGCAGCTGACTAATTGTTTTGAATAATCTGCCCTCCAAATTTGGACTTTGAGTCAAGTGTTATTTGGAGATCACCAAATCTCCTGGGAAAATACTCAGGACAGAGCTAGATGGTTTAGTTTGAAAAGTAGCACTCCGCACCCATGAATGAAGCCAAATGTGACCACTTGGACAGTAGTTTTCCTTTTGGGATTCATTTGGAAGAATTCAGAGGTAGAGTAATAGAGGAAGAGAGGAAATATGTCTTTAGGAAGGATTGGAGAATAATTTAGAACACCATTGTTGCCAACGTCAATACTATAATATTACAATACCATCATTTTCCTTAACTTCCAAAATTGTAATCTAAAATATGCATTTTAAAGTTAGCAGATCATCATCTCTTAAATAATACATCAAAGAAAACTCTATGCACTTAAAAAGTGTCATCTGTTAACCTAAATAATTTCAATTTGTCTTTTTTTCTCCTTTTGTCTTTTGTCATTAAAATAGACTATCATGACCTACTTCTTTCTCTTTTACAAAAACCTAACGTGACCATAGAATTTAGGCTGGTGACTTTGACTCTGCTACAATGCTGCTATAGTTTGCATACAGAATTGCCCACCCACAAGTTCATGTGTTTGGGAGCATGGTGTCTCATGTGGCGGTACTAAGAGGAGATGCAGTTTTATGGAAGATAATTAGATCATGAAGGCTTCACTCTCAAACTGGGTTGATGATTGGGTTGATGAATGGATCATGAGTTTTTACAAATAGAACAAGCCTGACCCCACACCAGGATCTTTTGAATCTTACCTTGTTTTGTGATCTCTCCTGTAATTCCCTTTCTGCTTTCCTGTCATATGTGATGGAGCAATAAATCCCTTACCAAAGACTAACTACATGGAGACAGCTTCTGTTTGGCTTTTCAAGTCTCCAAAAACAGAACGAAGCCTTTCTTCCTTATAAAATTCTCAGGATTGGGCTGGGAAGGTGGCTCAGTGGTAGAGCGCGTGCCTTGCATGCCTGAGGCTCTGGGTTCGATTCCCCAGCACCACATAAGCAAAAAGGAAAAAGCTGGAAGTGGCACTGTAGCTCAAGTGGTAGAGCGCTAGCCTTGATCTGAAGAGCTGAGGGACAGCGCCCAGGCCCAGAGTTCAGGCCCCACAACCGAACCCCCCCCCAAAAAAAATCTCAGGATTGGGTATTCTGTTATAATAACATCAAAACATGTTATGACAAATACTTTCCTCAGGTAGCAGGTACATACATTCCTATCTTGACCTGGGTGTCAAGGATGGTTTCTGTGATAAACCAAGGCAGAATACTTTATCAATCCATACTGTGTAAACTTAAGTTTCCTAATGACATATATGCAAAACCCAGTTAATAGAGTATTGATCTTTGCTGTTTAAAAGCCAGGTTTCCCACATTGCACTGAATTCACATTATTCATGAATTCAACAACAAAAACAAAGAGTTTACATGCTAAGTAGCATCATCCAAGATGCTTTCTGGGCAAGTAAGTTAAGTTTAGAATTAATCTATCTGAGTTGATTTGTTTTTCTAATCATACCTAAAAACAACCTCATTTATTGAGTGAAACTCTTTAGGATGGTATTTCCATGCTACTTTTGTTGTTATTCCTGAGTTTGAACTATATACCCAAAACCTTTGGATGACATTTTCTTAAAAATTACTGAAGGTAATAGAAAGCCACCTCTGCCTCATAATTCCTATAGTGCGTAGGTTGTCCTACAAAATCCCAGACTTATAGTGTATGAAACTTCTATTCATGATTATGGGAACTCTATTACTTTTTTTTTTTTTTTGGTCAGTTGTGGGGTTTGAACTCTGGGCCTGGGCGCTGTCCCTTGAGCTATTCAGCTCAAGGTGAGCGCTCTACCACTTGAGCCACAGCGCCACTTCCAGTTTTCTAATGGTTTTATTGGAAACAAGAGTCTCACAGTGTTTCCTGCCTGGCCTGCATTTGAACCATGATCCTTGGATCTCAGCCTCCTGAGTAGCAAGGATTACAGGCCTGAGACCTCGATGCCCACCTTCTATCACTCTTAAACATCCTCACTGAATATTTTTCTTTTTGTGCTATCTATGCAGTGTCTCTGATATATAGTTCTCAAGTCCTAAGAATCTGTGAACATTTTGATTCTGTGTATCTCCAAGATGCATCATAGATTTTGTGGCCTCTTTCTCGACTGTTCCAAGAGTCCTTTGTAGAGTTTATTACTGTTGTTCCAACAAAATCTGTCCTGACTTTAGAGTTACTGAGAATTAAGGAGTTCCTAATGAAGAGAAAGGGTCAGCTGAAGAAACAATGACACAGTCATCAAAGCACTTTGCTTAAAAAAAAAATGTTTAGACAATAATGCTGCTGCTAATGGAGAAAACATTTGTTCTTGGGCAACCTGAAAAGAAGAGTAAAAGAGTCCTTACTATTCTGGCAATAAATCACAGGAACACAGCTGCACTGGGTAAACAGATCTGGATGGGATATTTCTCATCAAATGAAGTGGATGAAAGTTAAACTTGCTTGAAAATTAAAATGAATGTACCTGGAGTTAGGTGACACCACTGATTGAATAAACAGTATTTTTTTTCCAATAGTCTTTTAAAAAGAAAATTCCTTGTAAGAATCTGTTTACCAGTCCATTCATCAGGTACATGTGTAAATAAGTTATTTATCTTTGAGAATTTTTTTAGAAGTGTGAAGATATTGACAAAAACTGAGATGTTGCCCGTTGGCTTTTTTTTCCCCTCAATAACTTCCTAGACATGTGACTATGAGCAGATATCCATTTTCCTCTCTGAGCTTCACTTTCTAACACACTTAATGCTTAGAAATAAATGCCTTTGGGAAACCATAAAATATCAAGAAATAGCATCTCTTTTAATTCACTGTCCAGAATGACTTACGTCACCAAGATCAGGACCTTTTGTTTTATTCAGAGCTCTATCGCCAATTCAGCAATATCTAATAAATAGTAGGAGCTTAATAATTACTTGGTGAACAACTGATGTTTTTAATTGCTCCTAGGACTCAAAACTAATGGAAAACAGAATAATTTTAATATAGCTGAATGTTCTAAGTATGTCACCCTTCGCTATTCTTCAAAAAGTAATATCTTTCTTACTTTTCTAGTTTAAGAAAAGGATCCTTCTTGTTCTGTTTTCATATTTAAAATTCTAAAACAAATTCACTCTAAGCAACAACAACAAAAAGCCCAAAGCTTAACCATTACCCAACCATTGTAACAGTAATTCAGTCCATGCTGCTTTCAGCTTTGCTTTAATTGTAATGACATTTGGATTAACACCACAAAGCAGAATGCAGGGCCAAACCAATGTGTCTGAGTGTCTAATACATTTTAATTTTGTCTGGAGGAATGGAACTTTGGCACTGGGTAGTTTGATCAAAGCCAAACCACTGCAAGACTTTAAGGAGAGAAAATCAGTGTTCTGGAGTTGAATGTGCTGAGCATGCAATCTAGCTCTGACTGATGGACTGAGAAATGGTACCACTAACCACCTGAAGTGTACTTCTAGGTCGGCTATAAAATGGAAATTATAGAGACTATGAGATTCTAGGTCTTTCGTTTATTTAGAAAAAGTAAACACTTTTAGTAGAAATAGTTAAAAAAAATTCTGGCAAGCAATGATATATTATCATTTATATAGTATACAGTAGGTAAAGTAAATATATTCTAACCATTATATCAATTCATCATCCAGATATGATTGATTATGAAAATTAAGCCCATGTATTCTAACTACTATTGCACTTAGTATTCCTTGGAACACATTCTACATTAAGGCCAATGCTGTCCTAGGTTGTCTCCAAGAAAGATTATGGGAGGCTAATCCTTCTGTTGGTTTAGATGTCCTGAAATTCAGCTCAATGTGCCAGTCTGCAATTCCATTGTATAACCAATTGTAACCAAACAACCATAATCAAGTCAACACCGTGGTTGAGCTATTTGTTAGTTATTCATACAAAGGGAGAGTTAGAAAACCTGTAAATTTCCTCTACAAAAAAGAATATGCAGAAAGGTCAGCCTTTTGAAAAGTTTCATTAATGTTCATTAAGTGGTTTTTGTAATGGTTCCTACCTTGTTCACAAAGTGCGCCGACATAGCTTGGAAGGCAGAGGCATCTAAATGTATTGAAGCCATCCACGCAAGTAGCGCCATTCCGACAAGGGTTAGAGTGACACTCATCAAAATCTGAAATACAATTACAAAGGCCCATGAAAACACTTTAGGAAGGGATGAAAGAATTCTATTTAATGTGAGTTGGGCAAATAATACACGGTTAACTAATCAAATTTGAATTCCAGATTTTTTAAGAATAAATGAAATTTTGATTTATGTGTATGCATTATATATATACACACATATCACTATTTTATCTGAAATCCAAATTTAACTGGCCAACTGCATTTTTTATTTGCCAAGTCTGAAACCTTTAAAATAATTTCAAATACAGTCAGAGAACCATTTCAAATGCATCCAGAATACACTGAATTGCTATTCTTATTGCTATTGGGTAAATCCAGTTAGCCCTGAAATAGATAAGAACTCCTACCCTCCTATATTCAGTCTTGGTTCACACTCTGATTACTTTGATGTGAAATATTCAAATATTCGAAGTACCTTACTTCATTGTCCCCCTTGCCACTTCCTCATCAATATAGCCTTCATTTTGCTGTCATCTTTTTTTTAAAATTATATTTTATTTTGTTGTAAAGGTGATATATAGAGAGGATGCAGTTAAATAAGGTAATGTGTACATTTCCTGTTGAACTGTCATCTTTTTGGACCCAATCTTGGTAAGTTTATTTATTTATTTTTCCATCCCTGGGGCTTTAACTCAGAGCCTGGGCACTGTCTCTGAGCTTCTTTGTGCTCAAGTCTAGCACTCTACTACTTGAGCCACAGTGCCACTTCTGTCTTTTGCTGAGTAGTTTTTATTGCAGATAAGAGTTTCACTGAGTTTTCTGCTGGGCTGGCTTTGAACTGCAATCCTCAGATCTCAGCCTCCTGAGTAGCTAGGATAAGTTTATTTGTTTGCTTCCAAATTTCCATGACTCCTCATTCCTCAGAGGGTGGTCCTTTAATGTCCTCAATATCATCTAAGGATTTTAGAAATGCATTTCCCTAATTGTCCTTCGGCTGACAGATTCAAGTATTTTGGAATGGAAACAATAATTTGATTTCCCAAACCTCTGGATGATTCTTATGTATGCTAGTGTCTTAGACCCATTTGGCTAGAGTATGAGGCAAAACTATTCAACCAAGTCAAAGCTGAGAACTTTGTAGAGGAAATGAAAACTAAATAACAACATAAGAATAAAAGAACTATTTTAGTGAAAAATCAGTTATGTTCCATGGAACCCAAGCAGGAAAAAAGAACACAGGAACTCCACAACTTTTTGAGTAGAGACAAGTTAGACTGGAAGCTAAGAGTCAAGAGAAGGGCCTTTCCCATCCCACATCAGAGCAGAAATTATCTCACCTCATTAGCTCTAAATTTCCTAATTTATGTATTTAGTCCTAAGTTTTAACTAGAATTTTGTTTAGAAAATTATACCTAAATTTATCATGTAATTAATATGTTGAGCTGAGGGACAGATTAGATGTTGTGGGGTTTTTTTCCTGCTAACATCTACAACATTTTTATATTTGTAAGCCTTATCTTCAGTAGTCCCCAAAATACATCCCTGACTTCAGTAAATTTCACAAAATCTTGGTAGTATTAGCAGAATTCAGTAAATATCCATTTCCATTTCCTGACTTAAAGAAATTACTTTTTGACCCTTACTTCATTTAACCTACACTGTGGGTACACAGGGGTTCCTCGGGGATTTAACCAATCTGACAATATAAAATTTCCCCCAAGGCAGTTTCTGGACAAGAACTGCAGTGCCTGAGCAAACAACATCTTACCAAGTTCACACTGGTCTCCACTGAATCCTGGCACACAAGTGCACACATAGGAAGTTTCAGTAGGGTAGCAGGTGCCCCCATTAAGGCACGGGTTTGTTTTGCACCGATCAGGTCCTACCACGTCCAGGAAAGCAAGAACAAACAATTAGGCTTATAATAAAGATTCTGATGTACTTTTAGCATAAAATGAAACTTATTGCTACCATAACAGAAGCATTACCATAGCGGTTTGCATCTAAGAATTTAACATTAACTTTACTCTGGAGTGTTCCTTGTCATGATAACTAATTGTTACAAATTACATCTATTCAGTTCTAGGACTCAATCATGACTACTTTTAAGCAATATTTCATAGGTATCTGGCAACAAATACATTCTACTGCAGATTTAGTTGGCATGATAATGGCAGTTGATTTTAGTCAAAAATGATTACACATATGTGCACAGTGAATGGAAAATGTTTTCTTTTAAACGAGGTTAGTTCATGTGAAATGGCTGGATACACAGAACATGCATTCTTTTAGAAGACTGGCTTGTTACCATCATTTGAATTATTATTGCCTTTTACCACTTAATGCTCAGAAACTGTCTTCCAAAGTGTGCACTGATGTCTCTTCTGCTACATTAACATGCCTTTTCCAAAAACACGTTCCAAATGTACTCCTTTAAACTATTCTTGAAGAGAAGCAATACATGGATTAAACTCTACTTTTAAAAGCAACCCCAATACAAAACCTTACCTAAAATAAAATTCCCAAATTTCATTATCATTTTCTTGTTAAAATATAAATAAAACCAGCCTCTCAAGAGATCAATGTAAAGACCCAAACCATAAACTTGTGAAAACAAGCCATTTACAATGTATTTTTTAAACATCAATTCATATCATTTTAAGCACACGTTTTATTTTGTAATGTTGCTTGGGTATTTTCATAAAGAGTTGGTATTTATTCTTTGATTTTCTTCCTGAATATCCTAATTCTCACAATAGTTTACAATCCAAATGAAAGTCACATGCTTAATAAAACAATGGAGATAAAGAGATTATATATGGTATACAACCACGTTTTCAAGAATTCTTAGTCCCCAAATCCTGAAATCATTAGATGTGAAGAAGAAGATACCTAACTTCTGATGAAACACTGGCTATAGAAGAAGGCTAAGCCATATCCACACAGGAAAATCACTCATACTTTCTTAGTGCTAAGTCTGGACTTTCTTAGTGTTAAGTCTGGACACCAGGTAGACCAGAGTGATACACATTCCAGTTTGGAATTGACATTAAAATTAGGTAAATTGAGCCGAGTGCAACAATTTCTCCTGAAATGACCACAATTTTTGAGGCACTTTCCCCTATATTTCCACAAATATTTAAAGCTTCTCTAAACAATTTTAGCTAACTATATCCAATAGTATACTGCTTTGATGATGAGACTGAAATCAAGGTCAGGTATCCATCTGTGAATATCAAAGTGACCCTGTGCTATTCCAACCAGAGACACAAGACACCATGCTGACACCAGGAGACAGGACTGGGTAAGAAAGGAACCTGAAGACATTCTGATTAGGAGAAAAGTTTAGATCTTCTTTCCTTCCTTCCTTCCTTCCTTTCTTCCTTCCTTCCTTCCTTCCTTCCTTCCTTCCTTCCTTCCTTCCTTCCTTTCCTCCTTCCTTTATTCCTTCCTTTCTTTGTTTGTTTCTTTCTTTTTCTTTCTTTGTTAAACAGTTTGTATTAGCTTCTAAAGTTGAATCTCTAACACATACCAGGCAATGCTCTATTTGAGATGCTGTTTACTGAATTTAGCTTAAGTGGCAGTTCATTTTGTAATGAAGACACACTCTCTAATCCTTGGTAAAACATTGTGGCCTGGAAAATGTGCAAACATTCTCACTCATGTGTCAGAGTTAACTCACAATATGTAGGCAAAATATGCCAATTGTTTCTATATCATATTGTCAACAACCTGAACTTTTTATTTCAATTAAATTGCAAAATAATAAATGCTGGCCAAATTACTATGTTATCAGTTGTAGTATGAGTAGAATGATAGCAAAAAGATAAAATAAATTTTAAAAACTCTTTGTCAAGCTGAGAGCCGGTGGCTCACGCCTGTAATCCTAGCTATTCAGGAGGCTGAGATCTGAGGATCGCAGTTCAAAGCCAGCCAGAGCAGGAAAGCCCATGAAACTTTTATCTCCAATACACCACCAGCAAACAGAAAGTGGCTCTGTGGCTCAAGTGGTAGAGCACTAGCCTTTAGCTGAAGAGCTGAGGGACAACGCCCAGGACCAGAGTTCAGGCCCCACAACCGAAAAAGAAAACAAAAATAACTCATTGTTGTTTATTTCACAGAAAGCTCTAGGACATTTATTTTAAAATGTACTTTCTGACTTTTACTTTTCTGACCTGCCAGATGAAGTACTAGTACCACAAAAATTATTCTAAAGAAAGCCATGACTTAAAACATGTTCAGTAAAACAAAGTATATATTTTCAACCAACATATCCTTTGAAGTACTGACATTTCTTTTTCAAAGTAAAAACTAGTTGATAATAACTACTTGTAGAACATACTGTCGTCTATCTAAGCAACAACACTCTAGGAAAAGACTAGAAAAGCTGACTTCTCCACATTCTCAGACTGGATTGAGAAGAAAATAAGTTCTAGTATGAAAACATTCTAAGACTCCTGGGTTACATATTATTAAGTATCAATTGTTATGTTTTTATTATATTTGAAAGCAGCAGAAAAGGACAATCAGAAGAGAGGGACTCTCTGAGTTCAAATCCCACTTTGGTCAAGATGTGGCTGTATAATCTTGGAAAAGTAATTGACCCTCCTTTTATATACAGCTAGTAATTCTGCATTATAGACTTTTGGTGAAAATCAAATGAAATTGTCTTTTATGAAACAGCAGCAAATTCATGCTTGCTATATATTCAGTGTATAAGCAGAACTCTCTCAACAGACACAAATATACAATAAATACCCACTATAGCTAGGTACTATGTTTGAAAACATTACATGCACCATCTTAGGTAAGGAAATTACATTAGTGTGTGAAGTACAATTGGTGTTGCACTTGCTGTGAAATATTTATTAAAGCTAACTGCTATTCTCAGATGTTAAAGGCCGAACAGATTTTGATTAATCACATCCATCAATAAAAGAGATTTTCTAGTTTTTGTGTTTGTTTGCTCAGGAAAAAGAACATTTCTTCTGTGTCTAAGAAGAAGTATAAACAGGGTGCTTGTGGCTCATGCCTATAACACTAGCTACTCAGGAGGCTGAAACCTTGAGGATTCATGGTTCAAATCTAGATCAGGCAGAAAAGTCTGAGATAATCTTATTTTCAATTGACCAACAAAATACTGGACTGACGTCATGGCTCAAATGGTAGTGTCAGCTATGAACAAGAAAGCTAAACAAGAGCTAAAGAGCCCGAATTCAAGTCCCAGTACCAGCACAACATAAATAAAATGAAATAAAGTACAAACTAAGTACATAACTACAGAACATATTAAAAAGTACTACTCTAATTGTGTGTGAAAATACATTAGATTCTCTTTCCATTATTTCATTTTATCCATGTTGCAACTGTATGTTGTTCTAAAGCATAGAAAAGTACAAAGAAGGACGGCAACTACTTTGTACAGCTAACTACTTAAAGATAATAAAAAGGACATTTTTATTTAAAAAAAAAAGATATGGGTATATTTGTAAAGCCCAGAAATACTCTATACTTACTGTCATTGTACATCATTATGAGTTTAATACAGTGGTCTGGAAGCTTTCGTACAAACAATATTTTCAAATCTCCAATGATTTATAATAAAAATAACACAGATATATACACACACACCCATATATACATATATATAATGTCAGAACCAAAGGACGGATTCCTGTTTTGGAAACAAACTTGTCAACGTGGTGATCTTACCTGGTAAATAGACTGCTGTGCCTTCCACCGACTCTTCATTAATGCCAATCAGGAAATCAGTTTCCTTAGTATCCAGAAGGGAAAATGGTGATGTTGCAAGCTCAGTATTTGAATCCACAGTGCTTATTGTTGCCTGATTGCTTGAATCAAGTATTCTTAATTCCACTTGTTTCTCTGATGCTGCCACTGTGGAACCCTGCCCTCTCATTAAAACTGCGTGTGTTTCAGGGTATCTTTCCAAAGAAGGAGGGGTGGTGGGCCTCTCAGATGTCTGGGGGTGAGGTGTAGGCACCAATGAAGCCCTGAAAGTTGCAGAAGCAGAACTAAAATGTGGCCACTGTGTAGCATCTTCTAACTTATTTTCACTGGCAGCTGTTGTAATGGTTTCAGCCTCAGGTGTTCTGCTACTGAGAAACACCTCAATACTTTCCCCAGAGAGGAGATAATTGCTTTTGCTTGTTGAATCATGGGAGGACTCTGTTTCTTCTTCAGCAGTTGATTCTGTGACTTCTGACAACCTGGGTTTGTCTTCTGAAAGTTCTGTGTCAGGAGATACAAACGGAGTCTCTGTTCTATGAACGTCTTCTTCACTTGATGGCTTGACAGTTACTTCACTCTTTGTATGAGCTTCTTTAAAAGAATCATTGGGAGGCCTCTGAGATGATCCAGCTTCTGTAGCTGGTGGAGCACTTGGTTCAAGAATCTCTGGGTGTTCAGAGGCTCTGCTGCCTACGTAAACAGGGAATGGAGAGGGCGGCACCTGAGAAGGCAGACGCATAAATGCTGACACTGCAGAGGCTGTGTCAGTGTAATAGGAAGGGCTGGATACTCCCAGCCCATGAGAAGCTTCTGTTAAACTCGGAGCTGTGTGGTGGATACTAGTGATACTTACATAGGAAGTGGAGTCTATCAATGCCTCCTCATCTCCTGAAGAGTACTCTGGCTGAAAAGAAGAATCTGTATGTTTCTTTTCTTCAAAGTTCTCCTGTGTCCTTTCCAAGTGCCCCATGGTTGATATTATCTCACTTTGGTCTGCAATAGCTTGACCATCAGACAAAGTGCTTGATTCAAATATGTCATCCAGAGGTATTGCTTTACTTTCTAGTTCTTTGATCTCTGGATTCGTTGTGGTAGACTTCCTAGGAATGGGCAGGGATGATGCTGTGGGAAGTAAAATATCTACATCTGTTTCTCTAGTAGGAACAGGAGTCCCAGCTGCAGAATCAAAACCCCTGTGATCTAAGAGGTTTCTGTCTTCCAAAGTCATGGATTCACTGTATGTTGGCTGAGTATTGCTAGCCAAAAGAGTATCACCAAAACCTTCTGATGACTCCTTAGTTAAAGAAAGGTTATCAGCTGTCACCTTCTCTTGAACTTGACTGTTTTCTTCATTACTTCCATGTGGTCCTGATGGTATGTCTGGATCTATGTCTGTTTGCATTCCAAGGATATCTGTATATATAGGTTTAGTGTGATCGATGTCTATGATAGTGTTTTTGTCTGATGTTAGCTCAGGTAGAATTTCAAGGATGCTACTCTCAGTAACTGTCAGTATTAAATCCATATCCTCTTTGTCCAGATCTATAATAATATTTTCACTAGATTTTCTTCTGTTCGGTTTTGAGGTAGAATCTTTTAGTGCCTCAAGATGATCTTGGAAACTACCTGCTCTGCCTTCTGTGGGCCTCTCATGTGGCACTGTAGTTGGCAACATGCTAACCAGATTAGGTGAGGTTTCGTTTGCTTCTGGATGAAGAGGCAGCATTGCTGAGATGGTTGCATACACATCAGCCTTCCCAGCTTCAGCACGTGGTGCCTCAGGATGCTTTTCCAGGAATCCATCAGAAACAAATGGAGTGCTTCCTTGCTTGGTGGCTTCAGTTGTTTTAGAAGTGTGGAATAAATCAAAACTATTCATTTCTCCAGATCCTTCTCCAGAATTTTCATGAGACATGTCAGTTGGCATTGGTATTGACATAACAAATTCTTTGGCCATTTCAAGACCATACGTTCTAGGCAGAAAAACAGCAGAAGAAGTTGATGTTTCTTCAGTTTCTGAGGTTGAAGAGTTCTTACTAGAAGTTTGTTCAATTCTGGTTTGAGGTTGACTAGTCTGAATTTCTTCTTCCCATTTGATGGTCTGATTTTGAGGGTGATCAATGTCTCTGGAGAGAGGAAGAGGTGCTGTAGTGTGTCCTTCTGCTCCAATGTCACTTAATATTTCTATTAAGGTTGTGTCAGATACTGCCTCTGTACCTTCAGAGATGTTGTCTGTTTTGGAAATGAATGTTCTAATTTCATTTGCCACACTTCCAATTCTCTCATAGTCTTCCATGTTACCACTTGAGATGCTTGTTGCTAAACTCACCATGTGGGGATACGATGTGCTTATTATTTGTTCCATTTTAGTAAAATTCACTGACATTGTAGGGAGAGGAGGCAAAACTTCTTCTCCTGATCCCAATCCAGAGAATAAGAGATCAGTATCTGACTCTTTCAATATTGGTCTCATATTTTCGGGAATTAGTTCTATTCTTCCATCCTTGTTAATTGATGAATCTGTTCTCACATTTTCAGTGGGTAGAAGTTCAGTCACTAAGACAGGAGCTAAGGAAGAGTCTGGCCTCTCAGTAGTTTCAGGGAGGGGAGTATATGACTCCAAGCCTTTTGGATCTGAATATGGAGTAGACATATGAAGTAAGGACATGCTTTCCTCCTCCATTTCTTTGTCATTGCTAAAAGTCTTCTTCATTGTTAGTATAGAATCATCTGTGGTTTGGAGTTCAGGATATATTTGTGTACCAAAAGTTGTATGTTCTGATACAAGAGAACTTTGGAAGAATTCAAAAGGCCTTTGTTCTTGGATTGTTCTGTCTGATACTGTTGTACTTTGAATTGCTTGGCTTATAGAACTGACTTCTGGCGTAGACCATAATGTAGATGGCTCTATTGTTTGAAGAAAGTCCACTGCAATTCTGCCATCGGCCTTTACTTCTCCCTTTTCCGATGAGTCTGCAGTACTTTCAGCTTCTACTGTTGGTAAAATTGTGACTCTTTTATCAGTTTCATTCATGACACTCATTTCTTCCAATCCTTGATCAAGCAATGAAGAATCTGTATCAGAAAGGTTTTCTGCATCAGTGGGACTCACTGGGTTGGCAGAGCTTCTGCCAGGGACCAGTTGCTCACCTGAGCCCTCAGCTGAAGCTGCAAACTCTTCCCATGGGAAGGCTGAAGTGCTTACCATAGTGCTGCTGGGTTGTTCTGAGTTAGACAATACATGGCTGTGGTCTGAAGTGGGTATTACAGATGGTGAAATCTGATCATTTGTAATTGATGCATACCCAGAACCTTCCATCATTGTTCTATCACTTGTAATAGGATAAGACACTGTTGAGTAGTCTCCAAAGTCACCACTGAAACCTTCTTCCCCAGGAGAGCCGGTGGAAAAGTCCCTCATTTCTGCCCTGGGAGTTGGTGCTCCTGCCACTTCTGCCATTAATTTTTCCTTGGATGTTTGGTTTATAATTTCAGTAGCTTCTCTGTTCATGATTGTACTCAAAGCTAGTCCTGTTGGCTTAGAGGAGAATGAGGTTTCCACATGGGGAGATGGAGTGGCAGCTGCTTCCCTTTGCGATTGAATTTCAGAGTCCAACTTTAATGAAAATGAGGAAACTGTCATGGATTCTGGGGTAGCAGCAGCTTCTCCTGAGCCCTGCTCCATAAAATGAGAGATAGGGCTACTTTGAAGAGTGGACAGCTCTTCCTGGACCCTCAACTGACTGCTACTGCTTGGTTCAAAGGGCTGTTCCCCAAAATTGATTGCCACATTCGCTTCTGTGAAGATAGGAGTCGATTTTTTCATGTTCTTCTCAAACTCTGTGGGGATCATCAAAGAGCTTTCACTGGCCATAGCTGACTCACTAGATGGAGCTACACTGGCATTTTCTGATTCAAGGGGTAAGCCGAGTTCTTTTGCCTCACGTGTTGTTGAGTATATCTCAACTCTAGATTCTGTACCTGTAGCTCCCTCTCCCTCCTTTTTCTTTTGCTTTCCTTCAAGGTACGTGCTCATACCCCAGTCAGAAGTGTCTACTTCACTTAAAAATTGAGTAGGCACCACTTCAACCAAAGGTTGTTCTGAAACCGTATATATGGCAGTTTCAGGAACATCCAGAAGGCTCTCTGTGATCATTTTGTTGTTTGAATCTAAGGTAATCAGCGCATCTGTACTATTCACCTGTGACAAATCAGTTACTGTGGGAAACATTTTCTCTCTATCCTCGTCTACCTCCCCAGAGCCTTCTAGAATTGGAGCCAAAGAACTCCCTGAGAACTCTACAATTTGTCCAGTTGTCAGTTCCACCCAGCTTTCTAGGGTAGACAAAGAGCCTGGATTTCCTGGTTGGGTAACTGATCCTTCCTCTGACACATATGCTGGTACAGAGTCTGGAAGCATTCTGGGAGTGTACGTGATAGGACTATTTTCTGCCTCTTCACCTAATATTGCTTCTGTAGCCCTAGAAGGGACCATTTCCTGAGATACTTGTTCAATGGCCGCTTCTCCTGAAGACTCCTCAGGAAACAGAGTTGCAGGTTCACCAGGTTCATGTGTCAGGTTTTCAAGGTTAAAACCTCTCTTCGTGGTGGACTCGGCCCTCTCTATGTCTTTTCCTTCAAGGACTGGGACTGTGGGGAAAATATCTGGCTCACCACTTGAAAACTGCTCTGTTGATTCAGGATAAGTCTCAGGTTTCCAGGTCATTTCCAGAAATTCAGTGGTTTCTTGAGATTCATTTGGTTGGCCTCTGTTAGAGAGTTCTGTTTCTGTCATTTCATACCGCTGGCTATCACTTTCAGAGCTGTCTGAGAAATTTTGAGAAGGAGCAACACTTTCAAACTGGCCACGTCTGGCTTCTGCAGCTTCTGGGTCCCTGGGCACCGTGGTGACGAGTTGCTTGCCATTTATGTACTGCACGGATGGAGTGGTGGTCACTTCAGTGCCATTTGTACAGTCGTCATCTTCCTCTTCATTTTCTTCACTGTGATAGATATCTATGTCTATGACACTGGGTAATTCAGTTAAAATTTCAGCAATTAGATCGTGCACTGGATCTGTTTCTTCACTACAAGGCTCATCTTCTTTAGATTCTGAATCTATTGGATGACCCATTACACTCAAATCACTCATTCGACCTGAAAAAAACAAAGTTTTCACAATACTTAAATGGAAGATTTGGCAGTGCGTGAACAGAAGAAATCGCTAGCAAGGCTGATCACATTCACACACACACATACACACACACACACACACACACACACGTACACTCACACACAGAAAACAATTCAGTTTTGTTTTCACAGTTAGTAAAGTCACCCTTCTCCATACAGGTTTCCATCTTCAAATTTGCTGTTCTAAATTTACAACAAGAAAACAAATCCCATTTTCAGAATATGGAAACAAATTGTCAAAACTCTTCAATATGTTTGACAAAACAATAAAGTCTTTAACATGAAGCAATTACATATACACAGTAATCATGAAACAGAGCAATTGATTTTTCTGTGAACTATGAAAAACATTAAAAATGAAAAACATTTCATCTGACCATATACATAAAGTAATTGATTGCTGTTCTAGAGGACGCATAGGTTCTCTCCGTTCCATATGGAAATGAGAAGAGATTCCTTCTGACATCTTCTAAATCTGCTTGAAAGACTATTTGTAGAAAAACAAAAGAAATAATTACTTATAGCTCATTCACCCTGCAGTGGTTGTGTCTAGCTAACGCATCATTGAAGGTAGAATTCAGACAAATCCCATACACAAGGTCAAGAAATGCTGAAGGGGTAGGGTCTGGGGAAGGACCCTTCCACACTGACTCCTTCATCCTCTGTGGGATGTGACCTGACGAGACTGAGTTTAGTTCTTGTTATGAAGATTTTTCTCCAAAGGAAGTTCAGAAGTCACATCTAAATATTTTGGCTAGCACACCTCGGATAATACATATTAGAAAAGTATTCCCTGTATTCCAAATTGTCACATGACACCAACTAGACTCATTGTCTTTCCCCCCACCAGCCATGTACCAGCAAGCCCCTTGCCTCTGGTTCTAGGAAGCAAAGAATTCTGAGGCGTTTTCCCTTATCAGAGAGGCTTTTAACTGTTCTGGGAGAGGATCCTCCTACTAAAGCTGTTCTAGAGCCAGTGAAAGCTCAGTGAAAGAAGGTGATTGTGGGTGCCCTGAGCCTCTATAAAGGCAAAACTTCCAGAGGAACACAACTGCAGAAGGCATTTTCAGTTTAGCCTATGTCCTGCTAAATGCTGAGGCTGAACTTGAGGCATATACAGGAAGAACAAATAAGGATAGCACCAACCCCCCAGCCCCCACCCCCCAGCATCAATCAGGAAGAAACCAATTGTTTCCCTTGAATGGCTCCCACTCAAAGAAGCCTCTCCCATCCATGTCTGCTGTTAAATACAAAATGATAATCCAACTGAGAATGCCGCAGGAACACAATCTTGTATTGTAGTCTATTAGGCATCAATATAAATATACATGTTATATGAACTACCAATACAGATCCTGTGGAAGTTTATTAATTTTCTAACTTAAAAAACCAAAGACCACAGACTTTCATGTAACCAGAAGAAATACACAGGTCTAGGCATAGAGGTGCATATGCATAATTATAGCTACTGTAGAGGTAGAGACAAGATCACAATCCAAAAGTAGCCCAGGAAAAAACACAAGAGGTTGGGCTGGGAAGGTGGCTCAGCTGAAGAGCTGAGGGACAGCGCCCAGGCCCAGAGTTCAGGCCCCACAACTGGACCCAAAAAACAAACAAATAAACACAAGAGTCTATCTGAAAAACAGGCTAAAAACTAAAAGGCTGGAGCACAAGACCGTAAGTTAAATTTCCAGTGCCATCCCAGCACACATGCATAATTTCATTTTATCTTTAATTCTAATAAAAAAATAAAGTACAACTCAGAAAAACAAAGAACTCATATGTATCCCATCACATTTTCAGTAATTTATCTCACTAAAACACTATTCATGTAGGTCTGACATTCTAAGCCTAACAATAATTCCTTCCATCTTAAAATTTCATTCTTTTTTTGGGGGAGGAGGGTCCGGTTGTGGGGCCTGAACTCAGGGTCTGGGCTCTGTCCCTCAGCTCTTCAGCTCAAAGCTAGCGCTCTACCACTTGAGCCACAACACCACTTCCGGCTTTTTGCTTATGTGGTGCTGAGGAATCGAACCCAGGGCCTCAGGCATGCAAGGCAAGCACTCTACCACTGAGCCACCTTCCCGGCCCTTAAAATTTCATTCTTTACATATGATTTGTTACATTTCCACAACAGTCTACCTCATACCCTCAGCTTTTCAATTAAATTCAGGCACATAGTTAATGTATTTAAATGAATGAAGTCTGTCAAACAGAGCATTGTCTAAACGCTATATCATAAAAACATAATGGAATGAATATAAGGTATTTCTGCCACAGATATTGCAGTGGTTTCTAATTGCCAAGTTCAAGAAAATAATTATATGTCTTTTTAACAAAATTATAATTGAAAAGAATAAATTTGTCAATAGTCTACTGAACTTGTTACTCTGATCCTGTGGTGTCTGCCATATATATGTTTTGAAGAGGACACAAACAAAATCTTCAGATAATTACATCACAATACAGTTTGGGTAAGCCATGTACTATAAAGAAAATGTTTAAATATTTGCAAGAATAAATTTAAATTCCATTTTCATGGATTATTCTCTTGAAATACCAATAAGCAACCATTGTGTCAAATAGTATTATCATTATTAATACTATTTGAATATAGTTGAATAAAAGCAGTTATAATAATATAAAATCAGTCATAACTATTTTGTACGACTTTGTGGTATGTAAGTGGAGTTTCACAAATGTACTTAACTAAAACTGCACATATTCTCATTTTACATGCAACCCTTTTATGTTGTATCACTTAACACATGTAAAACTGGAGTTCATTAAGAAGTTTTGCAACAAAAACTCAACTGTTAGATGCACTATTTTTAATTTCCTAATCAAAATAAATATCACTGCAATGTAACCATAGTAGATACATAAACTTTGTATACATTTTACAAACTCAATTCCACCTCTGCTGGATTTTGTCTAGAAAACTAAACTCACTACCACCATATTGCCTTGTTCTCAGTATTATCACCCCAGGAATAAATGCTTGCACAAAATTTACTAAGAATCTTATCATATATCAGATCTACAGATGGCAATGCTTTCTCAACCTTATAGTACCTCAAGTGTGTTTTCTAATATTCTCTGTCCACAAAATAAATATTTTGGTATTAAGTTAGAGAAATGGACTGATTACATTATTTTCTCACTCTTTCAAGGAGAAACGTGTTGAGTGTATGTATTGCAAATCATCCATAATTAATTTTTAGATTACAATTAGTTATTCACCTCACTCCCAAGTGTTGAATCTGACTTCCTTTCTGAATAGTAGAAAACAAGAATACATCAATCAATTCCATTCTGTTTTTCATTTTGCCATAATGACTCAAAGAACAGTTAGCACTGTTAGTAATAAAGAGTGATTGAGAATAAAATCTATAAATAACAATATGCACATTTGACAAATGCTAGTTTTGACAAATTCTATTGTCTATTTGAGGGTTATAATAGGATAGTAAGGTGGTTATCACAGGGAACCACACAAATATCTATGATTGTATGTGGATGTGATTAGATTTCTGTAAAAAGAGTAGCTAAATTCTATTTAACAAAAATAAACCCCTAGTGCAAATATGCCAACTATCATCCTCATGTTATACAGCAGATCTCTAGAAAAATGTAGTGTAAGAGACTTAAACAAAACAAAAATGCAAAATGAGAGTAAAAACATTTTTTGCTCCTTTCTTCTAAAAGGAGAATTCTCACAATTAGTCCAGTAAAACTCATTGTTTATATTGTCTCAAGTTTCAAATGTTCTCATAAGGTTTCTCAATATTGGTTGGAAGGTGAGATATGAGGTAATTACTTGGGACTTTTAAGTCACTTTTTTTTTCTTGCCAACAGACTCTCTACTTTTGCATCTCTATCTTATTCTGCTAGCATATCTAGGTTTTTTTTCCTTTACACTTAGCATTTCATGGCAAGAGGAGGCAGGGTATAAAATCTATTAATTGTATATTTAGGTCAGTAAATTCTTTCCCAAATTCCCATCAATAATCTCTTACAGATCACCAAATCCTGGTTGGTCCTTTTTGTTTATTCATCCTCTGAAATTACCTTTCCATCTTCCTTTCCTGTAACCACCCCCACCAACCACACATATTATTAAAGAATTATAATAGCTGTAATTATTGTAAACCAGAAAAGCTTCTTTGTAATATATGGTCAGACTGACACCTGCACTATTGTGAAAATTATGTCTCATTCCAAAATGGCAATCTGCTCTATTTCAGAGTAACAGAGCAAGTGAACAGACCTATTGACATTCCAAGCTCTTAGATGAACAAGTCCTTATAAAAGACTGCTCTATTTTAAAATTTCACTCTAAGGATAATATAACTTTTATTTGGTTTCAAGAGTCAAACCACAGAACTCTATAGAGCACATGTATAATCTTTTCTGTTTATATAAATATATTTTAACAGCTTGACTTGAATATACTACTACTATAGTTAATAGGGTTTTTTAATGGCATTTCACACAAAGCTTTATTGCTAGCTGACCTCAAACTATTCACAACTATTTTTAAGTACTTCATGGCTGAGTTTTGTAGACATAGCACAAGTCTCCCACTCATACTCATACTAGACACAAAACACAGTTGCTCTGATGCTTAGGACACTAGTTAAAATTCACATTATCCTGGGGGAACTTTACAGTTTGCATTAAAGAGTTTTAATTTTAATTAAATATAAATTATACCACTCCACTAACATAGATAGATAATATGTTTTGTTTAAAGAAATTTGTTTTAGTATGTGACAAAAAAGACCTTATTTCAAAAATATAAGAGTCATGCAGAATTTAAAGAAGTCTGAATTATCAGACACACAGATTCAATAACCAGACAGAAGCAAAAGTTTCCCTTTCATGCACCTTTCACGTTCTTGAGAACTATCTAACATCTTAGTAAACAAAGAAAACCAACTTACATGAATTTTAACCAGACT